ACTGCTACTGCTACTACTACTACAGCGTGCCGGGAAAAGATGATCAGTAAGGGCGGCAAGATGAACGGTCATCTTTGTCCCAAGCGAGGAGGGGGGAGCAACATGACTGGTCATCTGTGTACTCTTGAGGAAGGGCACAACAACCAAGCACTGTTGGTAATCCTGGTTTGTGCATTTTCACTCTTGGGGGGGCATGGTATTCTTGCAATCTTGCCCTACTTGCCCGACTGGGAAGCTTTGCTGGAACCACGCCCGCACCTACATTACCAAGATCACCAAAATTACCATCCAGTTTCCCCCCGGCAGGGCTGCACCTCTCCACAGTAATAACAATAATAATAGTAATAATAATGATACCAATGCCAATACCAACTGGAACTCAACATATGCGGCCGTGGAGGCCCCTTCCCCCGAACACTCCTCACGCAAAATCCCAAAGGCTGTTCGTCGAGAACTATTGCTATAACTATATAGTAGTGTACTTTTATTCAGGACGTTAACTACCCCCCACGTTGGGCACGTAGAACGGGCTTGCGGCCACCCCGCTTCTCCGCGGCATATGTTGAGAATACCATCCGTATGTCGAAACTTTTGTCCCGCTGGTGTCATACTACTAGTGACAATAATACCAATATTCATTCTTATACTAAGTCTAATTCTACTGATACTGATCCTGATACTAACACTGATATTGACACTCATGCTAATACTAATGCTACCACCGATGCTGATACTCATGCTAATGCTAATACCAATACCAAGGCTTATACTGATGCACTAACTTCTGGGCCTAAACTTGCGGCCTTTCCTGCGCGAATACCACCGCTGAACCTTACTGGAAGCACGCAGAATTCATCATGCCGGGAATCGGATGGCTAAGCTTCGAAAGGATCTCAGCCTCTGTGAGGACCTTTTCTCCTGGGATCTGATCTTGGGGTGTAGGATTTAGACAAGAGAATGCGACTAACCGAAGCGTGTAAAGACACCCGAAATGAAAGCAGTGAACACCCGAACAGCGCAAGCTATGTTTCTTCGGCTCTTCTCGAAGCTCTTCACGGCGACGAAGCGGATGGTGAACTTTTTTCGGCCCTTGTAAACCTTCGAGAACTTGCCGTGGCCGATCCTGAGTTTCGGGTCAGATATTTGTCATCTGGCTCTTGGTGGTGGTGGATGGAAATCTCAAGTAGAGCCGCCTCTTGAGTGGAAAGGAGTTTTGGCTGCAAGGCTCCCGAGTGTACAGGAGGGTAACATGGCTGAATCCGTGAGTCGTACGCTGAATCCCGAACTTGGGTTGCGGGCTGGAGAATCCTTTCTCTAGGCGAGGACTTGGCTGGCTGCCAGAACTACGGTAGCAAAGCACTGCTGACGCCCCCAGCAAGACACTCGCACTGCTGTTCTTCACTGTTCAACAGGGCTGCTGTTTACTGAACAAAACCTTTTACACCGAGGCCTCCTCGAAATTTTGGGTAATCTGATGATAAATGTGATTTCACAGCGCTGCTGGTACAGTAAAACAGTGTTTTGCGGCTGGGCTCTCAGTGTCACTGAACTAAACCCTGAAAACTCAAACCCTACACCGCCTGAGCCAAGCGTCTCTTCGTAGAGATGGTAATTGTTCCTTGCTTGTTCCATAGCTTTGGCTGGGGTTTTTCAACCATTCACTCTCGCCAGAATCAAGCCTGATTGGCGTTTAGGGTCCAGGGTTCATGGCAGGATGTTTCAACAGGAATTCTAAGCTCGGGTATCAGGTTTGGACTTGCACGGATTGGCTCCATGTCCTTCGAAGCCGGCAATGGGGTTCTGGGCAAGGGACAGCAGACCCCTCCAAATCGCATGGGGCATACGTCGCACTTCGGGAGGACCAAACGACTTTAGAATCCGGAACTTGTTGAAACTCTCTGTAGAAACAAGTGCGCATGCATATACATGCATGTCGATATGTACAGAGAGACAGAGAGAGCCAGCGAGCGAGAGAGAGAGAGAGACAG